TCTGGAAAAAGTTTGGGAAGGGTAACATCCCACAGGTAAAATGTTATCTTTAAAACCTTAAACTCTGACAAGGAAATTTGGGGGAAAATTCTTAAAACATTTACTTAGATTTTGATAGGCAATTTATTACTTTAGCCTCCTGAGACCCTGTGTCCTCATAAGAGGACGTTGCATTTTTGTCTCTCTTTACCATGATACTTCTTTTTTTCTTTCAGCTTTGACCTCTTGGCCTCATAGCAGATGCTATCAGACACTGTTTGAAATCTAAAGTTAAATGGTTTTATACATTTTCATCCAATCATGTTCTTATTGTGTAATAAAAAAAATGTAAATAAGTCATTGGGACTGTCAGAACAAAATTGTAAAAACATTTAATTAAATATGTAAACAAACATTTTAAATGTAAAGATAAACCCACTGGGCGTAAATGAAGAACTACCTGTACCATGACAAAGTCTAGTTATTAAACGTTTTATGTCCTACTAATCCCATATATCTTTGAAAAAAAAAGCTAAAATGCATGCCAAATAAAAGCTCGGGTCTCAGGAGGTTAGATAGCCACCTTAATCCCTTTTTTTCAGAGTTCCACAACTGTGGAACTCCACCCTCCACCACTTTCAAAACTAAATAATGTCCATGACCCATACATTAGACTCCAAAACCTTGTTCATTTCAGCACTGAAATCTGGATAGCTATCATAATGGATTGATAGCTCAAGGACACAGCCACATGTGTGAGCCACAGGTCTTCTGAGAAACCCTTGAATCTTTGTGAAATCAATAAGAATTTTCTTATCCAGGAACAGGTCTGAACCTGTGCAGAACCTTAGAAACAAGGACAGATGTTGCAAATCTGCATTCCTGATATATGTGCTAACGTACTTTTGAATGTCCTTCTGATGGACAATCATTTCCTCAGGAAAAACAATGGACTTCAAAACTTTTCTTGCATTTGGTTGCAAGTTTTTATACACAGAAAGGTCCGGGAAGCTGTTCCCGGTGATACTGAGTGCTTTGGCCCACTGTTCAATAACGTAAGCAGGCTCTAGGACAAGTGTTTTGTGTGCAAGCTCTTGGAGGATTTCCTTTACATTGCTGGCAGTGGGCTTTCGTCTGCAACTGTGGTTATCAAGAATCTCTATCAATTCCTCTTTGTCAACACTGCTGAAGTCTGACTGCCATGACTGAAACACAAAGCGCTCAGATTCAGACATGCACTTAAGGAAATTCTCCACCACCTCACTTTTTACCTGTCCAAAGGCAGCTTCCTCTGGTATGACAGGTGCAATCTTCGTAGGAAGATATTTCTCTTTTGTCCATCCAAAAACAATTATTCGGCCTACACTCTCCCACTGCTGCTGTCCATAATCATGTCTCAGAAAAGGCACTTTGTAAGTGTTTCCTATAGTACAGTCATGGCCAAAAGTATTGAGAATGACACAAATATTATATTTTCACATGATCTGCTGCCCTCTGGTTTTCATGTGTGTATGTCAGATGTTGTCATCACATACAGAAATACAATCAATGCTTGAATTTTGTCAGAATTCCTAGGTTTTCGTTTTTCCACCCGTCTCTTGATGATGAAACTGTGAGAGAGCTGACTCCCTTGAATGAGAGGCAACCCCACACATGAATGGTTTCAGGATGCTTTACAGTTGGCATGAGACTACACTGGTGGTAGCGCTCACCTCGTCTTCTCCAAACAAGCCGTTTTCCAGATGTCCCAAACAATGGGAAAGGGGAGTCATCAGAGAAAATGACTTTACCCGAGTCCTCAGCAGTCCACCCCCTGTACCTTTTGCAGAATATCCTGGAGAGAAGTGCCTTCTTTGCTGCCCTCCTTGAGACCAGGCCTTGCTCCAGGAGCCCCGCCTCACAGTGCGTGCAGATGCACTCAAACCTGCCTGCTGCCATTCCTGAGCCAGCTCTGAACTGCTGGTAGCCCGATCCCACAGATGAAACACTTTTAAGAGACGGTCCTGGCTCTTTTTGGTCTTTCTTGGGCGCCCTGGAGCCTTTTTGGCAACAATGACGTTGAAATGTGTTTTGGGGGATAAAGTTCATTTTCCAGGCAAATATTGACTTTGCAATTAATAGCTGTTATGCTGATCACTCTTTAAAACATTCTGGAGTATATGAAAATTGCCGTTATAAAAACTGAAGCAGTAGACTTTGTAAATATTATCATTTGGATCATTCTCAAAACTTTTGGCCATGACTGTATACCATTATTTGGTAATGTAGAGAAAAATGTAACTGTTTAAGCTAGTGCTAGTGTAGCGCCCCTTTGCCTACATTACTGGCAAAACATCCAAATTTATGTAAAATAATCAAATATGGGACGCCCTGAGTTCTTATCATTAAAAGATTATAAAACTGTAGTCGTTATCAGATTAGTTATGAGTTCCCTTATAAATGCTTTGTAAATATACTCTTTTTTCCCAATAAATCTGTTAATGAAATAATGAATTGAAACAGTAAATGTCTTTCTTCTTTTTAGTAAAATGAAATACCTTACATTTGTAAATAAACTATAAACACACTTGAAAAAATGGGCACAACTTAAAATAACTCTAAAGTTTACAATTAAATTTTCCCTTTAAAGTTAAAAAATCAAACCCTTGGTGTCCATCAGTCACTTTCAAGGCATCAACAAACAAAATCATCAAAGTCAATAGTACATCCTAAGCTATGCCGGCTTTATAATAACTAAAATGACCCAAAAAATACCCGTTGCAAGCCTGAACGTCGCTTGTGTGCGTTGGGCCTGAAAACTTAAACAGTGGCCGCTTTACTCAATGAGCAAACAAAATAAATCGACTCTGTACCTGACTGTGTTTGGAAGAGACGAGTAAAGCGTTCCTGCTCACAGCGTGGATCTGTTGTCACGTGCCTCCTGCATGGATTCCCGCAGCACTGAATCTCCCGGTCCCCACCGTGTAGTCGATCTCGGTCGTCTTTTTTCAAACGAACCACAACTCCTCTGGTGTCCAGGACGATTCTCGCCTCCAAGCTCACAAAGAACAGCAGTCGTGTAGCTCACCCACGTGATCGCCAACTCTCCTCACTGTCTCTTAACCTAGCGGGCTCGCGCGTGTGTCGCATCAATTTTTACAACAGTCCAAGTTGCGACTTCTTGAAAAAGAAGAGGAAAAGTGTCCCGCCGCATATAACTAAAGTCCACTGCTTTTATAAATGTTCTGGCCGAACACTTGCCTGCAGCTGCCTTTCCTTAGCTGGGAAAAGTTTAGCTTAGCATATGCCAACTGGGAGGAACAATCGAGCAGACTGTCTCCTTCAACACCCTCCGTCGAACTCTCTCTCTTTCTTTCTAATACAGGTCTGTTGTTGCCCCCCCCCCCCCCCCCCACATTCAATACACTTTCTATACAATCGTGTAGAGTGCTAGGATTGTGATGATAGATGTTGATGCGTTATTGGG